ACGGAGACACTTTTGGACAGCATTGTCAATTTGGGGAGAGGATAGTGTTAGATGATTAACTCCGGCTACCACACTTAACCGGTTACAGCAACAGTTTTCTTATCTTTTGGGATAAAGATTCTACATAAATTGAATATAAGCTGACCACTGTAAGCACCCCTGTCAGTGTTAAATCATTTGTATCAACCCTCTAACTGCCACTTTTGCTGAACAGCTTATTCTATTAAAGGAAAGTGAAAATTGAATGGGCTTACCTGCTGGATTACCATCTGAAAATAGGAGTAAAATGTAGACACCACATTTAAGTGATACTAAACCTAAAAAGGTGTTTTACTTTCATGCATTGCTTGCATTAAGGTAAAAAAAAAAAAACCATTTTAGTTTCCCTATACTCTCCTACCCTGTGTGAAGGGTAAGACAGGGGAGAAGAGATTAGCGATGTGCATGGCTGCTTCCTCTTCACACAGGGACTCGAACAGCAGCAGGAGCCATTGGCTCTTGCTGCTGTCAAGCAAATGCAGTGAAGAGGAAGTGGGGGGCTAAGTCCTGCTGTGTGTTTCCTTGGATCATGGCGTGTCCCCATAGCAAACAGCTTGTTATGGGGACACACAAAAAGAGGAGGAGCCAGGATCTTCGACAAGGGACCCAAGAAGAGAAGGATTGAACTGCTCTGTGCAATACCACTGCAAAGAGCAGGTGAGGATAACATGTTTGTTATTTTAATTTAAAAAAAAAATAAATCTGCCTTTAGGAACACTTTAAGTATTGGTAAGCTTCAAAATATTTTAGTTGTAGGTTTAGAAATGCTTTAGGTTTCAAGAACTAAATATATTAGGGCAGCACAGTGGCTAAATGGTTAGCACTTCCACCTGGCAGTACTAGGGTTGTTGGTTCAAATCTTAACCATGATACCACCTGGCTGGAGTTTGCATGTTCTCCCTGTGCCTGCATGTTCTCCCTGTGCCTGCATGGGTTTCCTCTGGGTACACCCACACTCCAAACACATGGTAGGTTCATTGGCTCCTGTCTAAATTGGCCCTAGAATGTGTACGTATGAATGTGAGTTAGGGACCTTAGATTGTACGCCCCTTGAGGGTTAGGGACTGATGTGAATGTACAATATATATGTAAAGCGCTGCGTAAATTGATGGCGTTATATAAGTACCTGTAATAAATAAATAATAAAATATTGCAATGAAAACAACAGTCTACAAAATGATGTAGTGGGGAGTAACATTTTTTGAAACTCTGTTCTGACATCTCTTGAAGATCGTTAACAGCTATTACTTTGGTACCCTACTGAAAGCTATTATAGAATAATGGACTGTACAGCAAAGTTACACAAATGTCAGAAAATCATATCTTTGCCTTTGAATGTTAATATTAATTAGTCTTTAGCAGCATTTTTTCACATAATGTAGCTTTGAAGTTTCAAGGTTTATTGATCAAATTGTCATCATACTGATTGAGGCATGCTTCTCTCCAGTGACCAATGATTCCACGTAGTGTCCACATGCCACGAATACTTCACTGTTCTACCTAGCAGCATCAAAGTTATTTCTAGGTTACAGTAACCTCCTCTAAAGGCATTCTGATTTAGGATCTTGCTGTACTAATGTGTGTACATTTGTGTTTGTGAATCTCTATAGCTGCCCTGGTTCATTGCCTTTTTACCACCCCATGTAATTACACCGTGTAATGGACTATGACAGCCCTATGAAATGGCTCTTGTGCTTTTTTTTTTTAACTATGTATTAAGGTAAAGCAGTCATTCCATATAGAATTATATGGTAGTGACGTTTTGATGTTTCATCATGCAAAAACACTACAATTATTATATATTAAAAGTGAATAACCTGGCACTGAACTTTTGATCTGTAAGTCAAAATTACCCTAATAAAGTGTGATGATTATTATTAAAATATAACTAAAGGCAAACTTTTTTTTTTTTTTTCTTAGTTTTGGATAGAGTGGAGATGGATCAGGTTTTTATTGCTGTGCCTGTGCCCCCTCTCTAGGAAGATTCACCCTCTCTATTTGTCCTGTTTACCCTTCTCATGGAAAGCAAATTTAAAATCTTGGGTTCTTCCTAGAAAAGTAACAGAGGGGAAATCTTCCGATGAGGACATTAGTTCTGGTGACCTGGAGGTCCCCAAGAAATTCCCTTAATTTGCAGGAATTTCCTCTAACTTCCTGTTTTGGCTATGGGACAAGAAGTGAAGAAATTGGACACAGCCGGCAAAAAAAACAAAAATCAGACAGGGGTTATAACCCTCCCTTGCTCTATCCAAAAATGGAAAAAAAAAGTTTTACCTATATAGTTCTACTTTAATATTTTCTCCATTGTTCTATCGACCATTGATCATGCCAATTTTGTATTTTTTTCGTACCTTGTAGGAGCTAGAATTTAGCTAACTGCTTCAAACTCTTCGTCAACTTTCTAAAACAACATCTGTCATAAATGATTGTCTCTGGTAGTGGTTGCTAAACTGTGGCTGGATGTGACCCTTTGCTTGCCTTTTTCCGACACTACTCCAGCTGACACCAATGATGGACTACATCAAAGGGGTAATATTCCCCCACTGATATCAACAAGCACTATTCCTCCCATTAAAATCTATGGTGGAGCATTGCTTGCTGCACTGGCCATACTCTAAATCTGTCCAAAGCCTGAAGGACAGTAAACTGGCCCTTTGCTTAGAAAGTGTGAAGAACCTGGTCTACTGGTCTATAGTAATGCAGTCTTCATTTCATTTTCTCTCGTTAACTGGAACAATATAACGGATAATCTGGTTGGGAAGGGCAACACAGTTCTCCTTTAAGAAACTTTTATAAATCAGGCAATGGTTATCTCTAAATTCCCACAATACCTCTGCAATCTGCTGCGAAGAAATACATACCTTAATAAGAGTGTTCCATGCCAAAGAACATGGCGTATTTATACTCTTCACTCCCTTGAGTTCTCCTTGGAAAGCCTCTGTGTCTGCTCAATGTTCCTTTCCTGCCTTAGAATAGCTTGACTTGTGCCAGAATTATCCTTATCCTTGCAATCACATGCTGTATCTTAATTCTACGAAACCTTGCACATGATAAGCTATTCTGATGTGGTGTTATCAAACTTTCTAAATTTACCTTGAACTGCATAATAAAAATTGCACACAATCTGCTTTATGTGGATTCTCTCTCCATTCTGCTTTAACAGCAAAAAAAAATATTTAAATACTGAAGTGCTGTTATAATTCCTACATGTAACCAACTAACTACAGTATATAATGTCCTTTTTTCTGATGGTAGTGGCCAAACCCCATACCCAAGACCCTCAAAGCATATCTCAGGAATAACGTTCTCCTTGTAATACAGTAATGTGATGCACAGTATATTTTGTAATAATTTCCACAGAGATGAGTAGGAATTTAGACAGAAAAAAATTCTATCTACCCAATTTACCAATGCCTCCAATACTATCCTCCTACCGCAAACATTTGAGCACAATTCATGCATAGTGGTATCTGCCCATGCTTATGAGCATTCCAAACCACCCTTTAGTGATACAGGGAGATCTACTTCGACTTCAAGATAATCCATTTGGTAACCACCATAGAAAGGGAACCTCCTACAATGTAGATGCAGTGAGCTCTACTAGCCAGCTAACGAACCTATTAATCTTATTTCTAAGTTATAATAAAAAGAAGTTCCCAGTTGCATACATGTATGGATATACAATATGTAAAAGCCGCATGTGGGGAGGTGCAGCAAGTTGCAGGCAGTAATTAAGTCCAGTCGTAGCAAAACTTAAACCTTGTATTAAGCAGAATGCCAATATTACAAACACCGTAGTGGGGAGCTCCGCTTGGGGAAATAATTCACAATTCAATGTAGTCACAGTTGCGGCTGAGGAGAGGTGCCGACAGCATCTGTTTAGAGGGTGAAGTGTGGCCTTCAGTAAGTTTAGCACGTCCTTAGCCTTTTCCTTCTCTTCAGGAACCTGTCCCTGTCACTAGTTACTGTCCTTGATATGCAGGGTCTCTCTCCCTACACTAGCCATTCTCACAAAAACACGCCAAAACCCTGGGGCAGGGACTTAAATAGACCATGCTAATCCAAGATGGCCACCAAGGGTCACATGGCTGCACAGTAGCCAACCAGAACGCTGCTCCGCTGGTCCAGGAAACCATGGAGAAAACATGTTTCTAGGCTGTGGTATCACTTAGGTTGAGCGCCACCTACTGTGGAAAGAACAGACTGCACCTGCCTACATGCGCTTAAGCGGAGTTCCACTCACTCTGTTACAAAAAAAATATCAGCAGCTACAAAAACTGTAGCTGCTGACTTTTATAAAACAGCCACTCACCTATCCCACGATCCTGCGGTGCCCCCCACTGCTGCCCGTTTTACTGGCCATCTTGGATTCCAGGAGACGGCATCTTCAGTGTGGGCACCCGGCTGTGACAGCTTGCGGCTTCACAGCTGGGTGCCCACTGCGCATGCTGCTACTGCGAGTAGCGTTGGGCTTTCTGAATGGCTTCTGGGACCTGTCACGTGTCCCACAAGACTACGGGGAGGGAGGGTAGAAGGACAACTTCCACAGCGGAAGTGGCAACGGGGACCTGTCAATTTCGGGTACCCGTTCCCCCCCCGCGCTCCCCAATCCTTAATGGGGAGCGGGGGACAAATCTTTAAAGCGGAACTTCCCCTTTTGGGTGGAACTCCACTTTAATGTCTAGGTTCCACTGTGCCTTAGGAGAATAGCATCACTGGGACTTTGTACAGTAGTAAATCTATACAATTAGACATCTAGATTCACAAAGGGCATATGAAGAGCTCTCAACTAACACAATCAATGGAGTAAAATGGCAGTCCTCATAGTCTGACAATGCAAATATAGGCTGTGGGGAGGTTAATGTACTAAGTGCACAATACAAAATGCAATTGGTGTAAAGATATACTCTATGGCTATCATGTATATGTGGCATCCATTCTAGTTTATTCTTTTTTTCCAGGCTCAGCTGGAAGCACAGAAAGCCACACAAGATTTCCAGCGTGCCACAGAAGTGCTTCGAGCAGCCAAGGAAACCATTTCGCTAGCAGAACAGCGACTGCTGGAAGAGGAAAAGCGCCAGTTTGATTCTGCATGGCAGGAAATGCTTAACCATGCCACACAACGGGTACGTTGTACCATTCCTATGCACAACACTCCCACTACATCTTTTACACCAGGATTTATGTGATTTTTTTCAAGCAATTTGCTATTATGGATGTATGTGTGTGTGTATATATATATATATATATGTATGTATGTGTGTGTATGTATGTATGTGTATGTATATATGTATGTATGTATATATATATATATATATATATATATATATATATATATATGTATATATATATATATATATATATATTATGAATTTTTTTTTAAAGGTGGACTTTAAAGTGTTGGAAAGTCAGAATCATCAGTAACTTGCATCCCTTATGTTTTATCAAGATACAAAGTACTGTGTGTCCGTTTTTTTTTATTCTAATCCTAAATACCCTCTCTTACAGCACAGCTGTGCTGTCATTTGTCTCCCTCCGCTCTCCTTCTCCTATCTAAAGAGAGCAGCGGGAGGGGCTGAGATTCCCCTCTGGGGTCAGCCGGCCAGCAGAGGGAGGTCTCATGATTGCACAGCGGTGCTTTGCAAGAAGGTATTCAGGATTAGAATTTTTTTCAAAAACTGAGACACAGTTCTTTGTATCTTGATACAAGTGGCCTTTAGGGAGGGGTTGCTCCTTCCAGGCTTACTTACCTTCAGTCTATCCATTACTATACATATGCTTCTACTATGGAGGCTTTCAAAATGATAGAGTTAGGACTGCAAAATATACTGGGGTACCGTGAAGATGCTCTTCAGCTTACGCAAGTATTTGCAAATGGGTGCAAACTAAACCCCTGTCTTTAATGCAAAATGTTAGATAGGACAATTTGGTTGGTTGCAGGCTGGTTGGTAAGTTGAGCTGGGACTTTTCTCTCTGTTATTGTTTGACATGCGTCACCCTTCCATGTGCTCCTTGCTGCAAAGGCCAGTTATAGATTTGGGCAGTTGCTGTTTGTTTGTACATTCTAAAGAAGACTGCAAGCAGGCAGGTAGATTTATTTTATTGTAGAAAAGACATTGCATGTTTCTTTTGCAATAAAGTGCCAGTGTCACGATCGCGGCGTCAGTCCCCAGCCTTTCTCACCAAACTCGTGACCGAAGGACTAGCTGGTCTAAAACCGCGATGTGACGTGCGCAACAATACCACGCTCAGCTGCATCCTGCACAAAGATTTTCCAGCTAATGGACAACAATCTATGTACTTGCAGCCTGGACGCTATTGTTACTGGGTCGGGTTAATTACGCAATTAACCCTTCACACTGCCACCACCTCCTTTTTGTATAGAGAAAGCGGAAACTCAGCAATACACTAGGATGATTGGTTAACCGTCAGTATTCCGCTATCTCTACAGACCGGTTATATCGAGGGTTAAATACTCATAGTAGCGTTCTATTTAGAGGCCCAGATTCATAAATTGTAATACAGAGCTATAGAAACAGTTCAACACTTTTAGAAAGTAAGATTTATTACCAAAAGGTTAAAAGGGTGCAGTACGAATATTTACAGAAAGAAGATGTAACCGATATATATATAAATATACAGAGCACAACAGCACAGCAAACAGATAACAGAAGTTTAGGTAAATAAGTACTTGGCAAATAAATGCCTGGGGTTAAGCAGTTTCAAGTCTGATGAGCTAAGAAGGGATTTCTGGTCTCGCACTTCGTTGTTGCCGCGAGCTTCTCCTTTGCTTTCTGTCCGCTAGATGTTATATCAAGGACCGTCCTTACTTCTCTGACTGAACACAAAACAAAGAGAGCTCTTCTTTTCTAAGACCAACTCAACTGGAATCTTCCTATCACGGCCAAGCCAATACCTTATTTGGCAAAAGAATTGTTAGGCAGGCTCATATGCTGCTTGCATTCCTGAGGGAGGGGAATGAGGAGATAACGTCTGCTCTTCTGTGCACACTTCCCCCTCTCAGGTGTTTGCATAGGAGTTTAAGAGAAATACCAAAATGTAGAACTTTGGGGTAAAATGGAGAACCGCACCTCTCCCTGTGGGAATGATTGTAACAGCCAGCTCGTAGTTTTTAAAAATGAGACTTTAGTTTGACTCTAAGGAAAGAAAATTAATGTATTTTTCCCTTCTTAATAAAAAAAAAAAAGCTGCACATTGTTGAAATGCATTAAATGCATATCAGTGCAATGCGATTTTTGTTTAAAAAAAAAAAAAAGATGTCAATGTAAGTCAACGCAAGTGCATTCAGTGTGCGTCACTGTGGCTTAAATGTGGTGTGAATCCAGCTCTACTTAACAACTAAATAAAAATAATTATTAGACTGGCTGTCAAAATACACTGATCAGTGGCTGCAGCTGGTGATTGAAAGAAGGCTTCCAATGTGTCCCTAAGGATCGCCTTCTGATGAACAAGGATAGCCACACACAGATCAATATTTGCCCATTTCCTGCTATGGTAAGCTTTATAGGTGTATGTTAAAAGAGTCCAAATTACAGGAAGATGTGGATGCTGTATCCTGCTGCGTTCTACGTTGTGCTCTATGCTGGAAATGCAGAGTGTGTACATTGTGCCAAGCAGTGTCTGTACTGCACAGGCACGAGAACGAGTGGTGCATGCTGGGATAGCCAGCAGCACCGATTACTGGAAATAAATACCTGCGGGCTTCAGATGCCCACAGCCATCATGGCGCCTGCCTGCTTCCGAGATCATGGTAAATTGTTAATAATTACGAAGTAGTTACAATGCTTTTACTATTGAATTATTCCAATTGTTAATGCTATTTGAAAGGTCATCGTGGATCTGCTTTTACCAAAAATTTATTAGGGGGACTGGAGCTCCGCTTTAACTGTACTCTATTCGACAAATAACTTGTGTGTATATAGTCCTTTTAAAGTGACTTACGTAGCGTTGTATGCAGGTTTTATTATACTTATGCACTTTTTGTAGCTGTTGCCCCTAGATTGCATAGAATAGGGTAAACTGGAGTGAAGATAAATACTTATTCTGTATCTTTCTTTTGAAGGTCATGGAAGAAGAGCAGAAGAAGACGCGCAGCGAGCTGGTACACAAAGAAACAGCGGCTAAATATAATGCTGCCATGGGCAGAATGAAGCAGCTAGAGAAAAAATTAAAACGGAGCATCAGTAAATCAAAGTATGTATAAAGACAGAAGGTCCAAGCATACTGTATGTATGTGTGTGTATGTGTATATATATATATATATATATATATATATCTATATAATCTATCTATATATATCTGGAGGCACAATATGCCTTGTCCTGCTTTGAATAGCGGTTCCTAACTTTTTTTTTTTTTTTTTAATTCTTTATTTAACGAAAGACTTGTTTTAACATTCTAATCCACTTCGTCAATATAAAAAAATAGGGCAAGTGAGACACAGCTGAAGGCTCCTAGAAAGGTCAGTCTGTATACTCAGACAGAGATTAGAGGATCAGCAATCTATGGTTACAACAGCGAGACCACACAGTGACAGAGTGACCAAATAGAGTGAAAATGGGCCTTTGCATTACAAACTAGGACACCCAAGCCAGCTGCCTGCCAGAGAACTTAACCAAATGTTTTTGGACCCTTTTTTTTTTTTTTGAAGAGGCTACTTTAAGTTTTAGACACTTTGGGGGTTATTGTGGGAAAAAGGGGGTCCTCTGTTATCTCGGAATCCCCTTTGTTCTGACAACGGAACAAGAAATGGGAGATTCCAGGGTATTCAAAAGTGGTACCAGGGTATTCCAAAATATTGTAAAATAGGAATTGCAATTTATATTTTGGTATACATGTATCAATAGCCATAGCTAATATTTTCCCACAGTTATGTACTAAAACTGCATGGTGCAAAATCTGGTGCAGAGAAACCATTACGGTTCTAGGTTTTATTGTCAAAGCTTAATCGAACAAGCTGGTTGGTTACGATGCACAGCTGCACCATATTCTGACTGCACCAGTTTTAGTAATCCTCCCACTTTATTTTGCCAAAGAAATTAACTACATACTGTTAAAACTGATCTCCAGCCTCTGCTCCATTAGATGATTCCCTTATTGTTTTTTTTTTTTCTTATTAAGTCCAAGTGATGTCCTCACCTACTGTAAAAAAAAAAAAAAAAAAAAAAAAAAAAGCTCCTCTATCAGGAAGGCTTATGGAAGACACCCTATGTTATGAAGGTGCTGTGTGCAGAGCTAGTAGGGGTGTTGAGGAGAGCACTCACCCAGCACACACTAGCCAGCTGTAGTGGCTGGTCTCTTCAACTAGAACAGTTAGACTGAAAGAAGCAGCCCTTTAGTACCTGTCCATTCACACTGGCCCATTCACACGTTTACCTTGCATTGTCTTAAAATGTTACTAAACCCCCAACAGTAAAATCAGCCTGTATATGCATGCTTGTTATACTCACTGTGGATCCTAAAGAGTTATTCCTCCTTATTGTGTAAAAAGGATGTTTGATTCTGTATGCTCTGATCCCCCCCTTCTTCCAGTGTCTCCTAAATATCTCCTGATAGAACAGAGGCTCAGGGGCAAGCTGCACATGCTCAGTTTGGTGTGTATTGCTACAGAGTTTGTTTTCCTTTTCTTGGGACAGTGCATGTGATCAGCACAGGATCAATCAGCACTGTCCAAACAGGTCAGGGGTCCTGCATCCTTCCACAAGAGAATGAAAACTCATACAAGCTGTAACCAGTGCTTTGCTGAACACAGAAGTCACAAGACTGCTCTAACTGCTTATGAGAAAAGATATTTAGCAGGTTATATTTACTAAAATAGTTGCATTTCCATGTACTGTGTACTGTAAGAGACCAGATATAGTGAATGCAGGGTCCTGGGTTTAGTAACACTTTAAGGCAAGGCAGCAAAAAGGAAAAAAAAAATAGATCTACAGTATCTTTTGCAATGCAGCGCATTACAATGCATGGTAATAATGCAGGTGTGTTGGTAGGATGAGTTGGGGCGCCATTTACAATCCATCCAACGCCAAACTGAGCAAAATCCTCTCTTGTATTAAAAGGTATAGACTCCAGAGAGAGAGATATCATTCTACCATTAGTAAGACCTCATCTGGAATATGCAGTTCGGTTTTGGGCACCAATTCACAAAAAGGACATTGGGGAACTGAAGAAAGTAAAGAGAAGGGCAACCAAACTGATAAGAGGCATGGAGATCAGCTATGAGGAAGGATTAGAGGAACTGAATTTATTCTCTCTTGAGAAGAGGAAAATTAAGGGGGGATATGATCAACATGTATAAATACATCAGTGGTTCATATAGTGAACTCAGTGTAGAGCTATTCACCCTGAGGTCATCACAGAGGACAAGGGGGCACGATTTATGTCTGGAGGAAAACATGGAAAGGTTTCTTCACAGTGTGGCATAGACTCCCTCAAGAGTTGGTTCTGGTCAGCTCAGTGGATTGCGTTAAAAAAAAAAAAGCCTGGATTCCTTTCTTAGATACACAGAATATAACTGGTTACTAACATTTACAAGTAAAGTTGATCCAGGGAATATCTGATTTGCCTCTCGGGGGATCAGGAAGGAATTTTTTTCCTCTGCAGAAGCAAATTGGATCATGCTTTGCTGGACTTTTTGCCTTCCTCTGGATCAACTGCGGGCATATAACTTTTTTTTTCTTCAGTTGAACTGGATGGACGTTGGTCTTTTTTCAACCAAACTAACTATGTATCCCTCTAAGACACATACACTGCACTAGGCGCAGAAGCTAGGGAACTGGCAGGATTTTATATATAAAGTTAATTATGTCTGGCCAACAGCTTTAGGACCAGGCTTTTTCTGGCACTTTCTGTTCACATGTAACAATATGTTTTATTTGCAAAAATTACTTAGAACCCATATATATATATATATATATATATATATATATATATATAAAACATTTTTTTTTTTACAGCAGAGGCCATAAAGAATAAATTGGTGGATTTTGCAATGTTTGTTATATCACATGGTATTTGCGTATCGGTTTTTCAAACACAGTCTGTTGGGGAAAAAATACACTTTTTTGAATTTTAGTGCAAAAAAACACAATACATAACCCATTTTTTTTAAATATGAAAGATGATGTTACACTGAGTAGATACAAAACATGTCACACTTTAAAATTGCGCCCGTACAATGGTAACAAACAACATAAATTTTACTATCCATAGGGACTCTTTAAAAGCCTTCACAGGTTACCAGTTTAGATGTACAGAGGAAGTCTGGTGCTAGAATTACTGCCCATGTTAGCGGTGATATCTCGTGTGGGATGATTGATGTTTGCATGCATGCAGGACCAACACATGCAAGCACAGGGGGTTGGGGGCAATTTTTTTTTTTTTTTTTACACTCAATTGTATTTATTTAATCACTTTTATTGCTGTCACAAAGAATGTACACATCCATTGTGACATCAATAAACCTGTGACAGGTACTCTTTATGGAGGAATCTGGGGTCAATAGGACCTCAAATCCCTCCTCTGCCCTAAAAAGCATTCAATCACACCAAGACACTGTGATTGAATGCCTTTATTTTTTAAAAATGTCACTGATTGTTTTCGAGTGAACTAGAAGTGATGGCTGGTCATCACTTCCAGTTTACTATTAAACGGAGCCAAACAAAACTAAACGGGTCTTTGTTCGGCTCCGTGACTAGCCGGTGGCAGCGACGGCTGGTTGATTGACACTCTCGGTCGCAAGGTAGATCCCGATAAAGCAACGGGGGGTCCTCGAGGGGCATCCTCCTGCTGCTTGTAATGCGATTGAGCGGCTAGTTTACGTAACTGGTCGGCAAGTGGTTAAAGTGATTTTTGCTAACCTTTTGGGAAGAATTTTCATATGACATAAAATGTGGTAAAGCCCAGCTCCAGCCAGGACCTTTTGTTATGTTTGTTTGCAATAGGAAAGGGTTGACTCCATTTGGGGAGATTTTATGCCACTCTTTATCCCTGGAACACCAGGACACTAAACCATAAGTGTGCTCCTGTCAGTGTTGAGTATGAATCACAGAGGAACTCAACAAAAGGCAGTTGTTACCATGCTCTTCATACCAAAGGAGATATCTAACAATAATGGCTATCCCTAGGTAACAAGGGTGCAAACTTCCAAACTCATAAGTGTTTTTTTTAGTAGCTTATGATGGCCATACGTTATACAATTTTACCTTCAACTGTGTAGTGAAAGGTCCTGCCTGATTGCATACAAATTGAAAGTGTTTAAGTTTGACCTCATATTTTTTGGTTTTGGTAAATCTAGAGGTAAATTAGACAAAAAATTGACAGCTGATTGGTAGATGACCGATTTGTAAGGTGCATTACTAATGTGCAGATGTATCTCACATGTTCATAGGTCACTTAGGAATTATAAATTGAGGTAAAATGTGTTCACTTCTGCAATTGCAGTACCTGTCACGTACCTGATTGGAGACTGAAATGACGAGGTCGGCCTCACTTATGTCACTAGCCCTGACCCCACTGGAAGTGGAACAGAGGGTGTCTAGGCACCAGGGGACAAAAGCGCCAGCAGATGTTGTTTGCAGCTCTTGCAGTTGGAGACTTTGGAAGACTGATGCACCGCCGATTCAGGATCATTAGTGATATGCAGAGCTGGTATGGGTAGGTCGCCAAGTGTGCACCAGAGTAAGACAGGAAGCTGGGATGGGAGACAGGAGCAATGTCAAAGGAATAGCCGGGGTCATCAACGGGCGGACAGCGAGGTACCAAATCATAAACAAGCCGAAGTCAGGAACCAGTATCAAGCAGGAGAGTAATCGGTCAGGTCAGCAACAAGGAAATCACAAAGGAACGAGAAGGAAACAGGGAACAGCTGAAGACCAGTCAGCACTCAGCACAGGCTGAGTCACCTCTTAAATTGTCTGTCTGGCGCAAATCTGCACCGTGCGTGTGCGTGATCATGCATTTCTGTGCACATGCGCACGTCTATGCACCAGCCTTCTCACAGGAATTCCCTTACAGTAGCACTGCAAGTTTATATTTTAGAGTCCTATTGTCAGCATGTCACCACTGGGACTATACAGTATATGCAGCTTAACATTTGGAGATTTTCTCTTGGGTGTAACTAAACCCTGCTGAATGCAGATACTATGACCCAGGGCTTTATAATGTTTCACCATTCTTAATATCACCTGTCATAAGCACACACACTATGCTGTATAACAATCATGTGAGCCAAATAAGCCTTTTACTGGTGTGGTGGTGGTGAAAAAACCCCTCTTCAGTTGTAATGAGGGATGGGCTCCATCGGTACCATCTTCCTTTGCTTTACCCCATTTCTGTGGCTGATGATCTATATAAATGTCTTCTTACTTGTAAACCGCCATTCGTGGCTTTAATATAGGAGACATAACACAACAGGGTGTATCGTCCATGCGTTATACTTTCTGGTTCCTAGAAAATTCTCAAGCTACATTTTCATGAGCATTGCTTCAACAAAGAAGATGTCTCTACAGAGACCTGTAAAGGTTTTGTTGCACAAAACTATCCAATAGATATACATTTTGTAGTTGTATGGACTGGTTTGTTCAGCTGTGCACTCTTTGCATCGCGTGTGTTGTTTGTGAGTTTCCCAGTTATCTGCTAAATTTAGATGTACTGCTCATGTAGTAATAATGCCCCAGAGACATGGGAGCTCACTCTCCCTACATGTGTCAGCGTGAGCTGTTTATAGAGTCCTGCTCCTGCCAGAAAGCAATGGACTTATTTGTGCTATTTTAGTTCACATCTAGGGTCAGTAATTGGTTATTAACCATTTTTCTTTGAGTATAATCTTGTCGTTGTCTGGTGTGCAGGGGCGGACTGAAAACTCATGGGGCCCCCAGGCAATAGGGGATCATGGGGCCCCTGTGTCCTTGCCCAAACTCAAAAAGCCTATGAAAAAGGTACCAGGGGCATCTCATGGGGCCCCCTACTGACCCCTGGCCCTCGGGCAGTGCCCGAGTTTCCAAATGGTCAGTCCGCCCCTGCTGGTGTACTTAGAGAGTAGTCCATGGGCTGTTTAGTGCAGGATGCAGCATTTCAGCCAGTCAGTATCTGTCAGTGTCTGTCGCTTGTGGTCCCATACGGTCAGTGGGAGAGCACACTGTGCCCAAGCACAGAACTCTCCATAGATTATTGTAGTCTCATTGGCAGAGGTTATGTTTGTGTGCCCATGAACTATTGCTTATAGCCCAGTATGAATGCATGCCATTGGGAGAGTGAAGAGGAGGGACAATCACACTCAAGGTGTGGGTGCATCCTAAGGAACTGCTCCCTCTGACTGCTAGTCTCACAAAATTTTAAGTGAGATTTGGTATTGTCACTATTGTGCTGCTCACAGTTCTCCTTGCCAGAAGCTTAGACATGAGGAGGCAAAGCCCTGCCCTTACCTAGCTGGCTTCACAGTTAGGTTGTTTAGATATGAAACTAGAAAACTGGTATTGCACATTAGAGCGCTCATTAGTTAGGAGTATTATGAAGTTGATGTGAGGACCTTGGTCATTGCATTTCTCTAACACAAACACAACTTCACTTCATCTTCTTACTTTCTTTAGACCAGTAGCCTCCAAACTACAGCCCGGCGGCCAGATGTTGCCCTTTGATTGCTTTTATCAAGCCCTTGAGGCACTATTTCACCCAGCGATACCAACAACTGGAGCATAATTCTCCCCATAGACACCAGTGAAGGGGCACAATTTCTTCCAATGACACAAACGATGGGGCACAATATGTCCCAATTACAGCAATGATGAGTTACAATGCCTCCTACTGACACCAACAATCCGGTGCTATTCCTCCCACTGACATCAAAGATGGAGTACTATTCCTCCCACTGAAATCAGGACCTTTCCTACTCCCAATGGCCACAATCTGGCCCCCCTAAACTCTGAAGGACAGTAAATTGGCCCTTTGTTTAGAAAGTTTGGAGACCCCTCCTTTAGACTAATAATTAACAAAAAAAACAAAAAACACACAAATATATTGTGTGTGTGTACATGTATGTGTATATATATATATATATATATATATATATATATATATATATATATATATATATATATATATGTGTGTGTGTGTGTATGTATATGTGTGTGTGTGTGTGTGTATATATATATATATATATATATATATATATATATATATATATAATATACTCACACATATACATTATATATATGTATATGTGTGTATGTATGTGTGTGTGTGTATGTGTGTGTGTATATATATACAGTTGCAAGAAAAAGTATGTGAACCCCTTGGGATTACGCGGAGTTTTGCATGAATTGGGCATAAAATGTGCTCTGAACGTCATCTAAGTCACAACAATAGAAGAACACAGTCTGCTGAACATAATACTACACAAACATTAGATGTTGCCATGGTTTAATTGCACATAACATGTAAACATTCACAGTGCAGGGAGGAAAAAGTATGTGAACCTTTGGACTTAATAACTGGTTGACCCTCCTTTGGCAGCAATAACCTCAACCAAACGTTTCCTGTAGTTGCAGATCAGACCTGCACAACGATCTGGAGTAATTTTGGACCACTCCTTTTCACAAAACTGTTTCAGTGTAGCAATGTTCTTGGGATGTCTGGTGTGAATCGCTCTCTTAAGGTCATGCCACAGCATTTCAATCGGGTTGAGGTCAGGACTCTGACTGGGCCACTCCAGAAGGCATATTCTGTGCTGTTGCAGCCATTGTTTTGTTGAATTACTTGTATGCTTTGGGTCATTGTCCTGTTGCATCACCCATCCTCTGCGGAGCTTCAGTTGGCGGACGGGTGGTCATACGTTTTCCTGCAAAATGTCTTGATAAACTCTGGAATTAAATTTCCCATCAATGTTAATAATCCGTCCAGGCCCTGAGGCAGCAAAGCAGCCGCAAAACATGATGCTCCCTCCGCCATGTTTTACAGTGGGGATGAGGTTTTGATGTTGGTGTGCTGTGCCTTTTTTTCTCCACACATAGTGTTGTGTGTTCTTCCCAAACAACTCAATCTTGGTTTCATCTGTCCACAGTATATTTTGCCAGTAGTGCTGTGGAACATCCAGGTGCTCTTTTGCTAACTTCAAACGTGCTGCAATATTTTTTTTGGACAGCAATGGCTTCCTCCGTGGTGTCCTCCCATGTACTCCATTCTTGTTTAATGTTTTCCTTATTGTAGATGTGTCAACAAAAATGTTAGCATGTGCCAGAGATTTCTGTAGGTCTTTAGCTGACACTCTGGGATTCTTCTTTACCTCATGCAGCATTCTGTGCTGTGCTCTTGCAGTCATTTTTACAGGATGACCATGCCTGGGGAGAGTAGCAACAGTGCTAAACTTTCTCCATTTGTAGACAGTCTGTCTTACCGTAGACACATGAACATCAAGGCTTTTGAAGATACTTTTGTAACCCTTTCCAGCTTCATGCAAGTCAACAATTCTTGATCGTAGGTCTTCTGAGAGCTCTTTTCTGCGAGGCATGGTTCACGTCAGACAGTGCTTCTTGAAAACAGTAAACCCAAAACAGGTGTGTGTTATTTAAGGGCAGGGCAGCTGTCAGCAACACATCCAATATCATCACACTGATTGGAGTCAAGGTTGGCTCACTCCTGGCTCCAATTAGCTCTGGGAGAAGTCATTAAGCTAGGGCCTCACATACTTTTTCCTCCTTGCACTGTGAATGTTTACATGTTATGTGCAATTAAACCATGGCAACATCTAATGTTTGTGTAGTATTATGTTCAGCAGAGTGTGTTCTTCTATTGTTGTGACTTAGATGACGTTCAGAGCACATTTTATGCCCAATTCATGCAAAACTCCACGTAATCCCAAGGGGTTCACATATTTTTTTCTTGCAACTGTATATGTATGTATGTATATATGTGTATATATATATATATATATATATATATATATATATATATATAATGTATGTGTGTGTGTATATATATATATATATATATATATATATATATAAACAGGGAGAACAGAACAGCTACAATGGTCACAGCAATCCCAGGAGCTCAAGCCCAGAAAGATAACTATTGGGGTTCTTGCACACAAGCCACCTGAGCTCTTTCACCATAATTGTGTAATTGAATTTCCTTCATCCAGGCAGCCCAGGTGCAGTTTACGGCCTGTCATTGACGTAAATGGCCGTGTGCTGCTGTACTCTTGTATATGGAGTTACTACAAGTACATTGTATGTGCGTATTCAAAAAGTGGGAACATTTTCTATTTTTCCATATGCCAATACGCTGTACTTGTCTTTACAACAGCACCACCAAAAATAACCTGATAGGGGTTTTAAGCTTTCTCTTTCAAAATTTTGAAACATTTGAAAAAATGTTTGGCTTTCCATACACATGAATTCTCGAGAATCTATAAAGTTGCAAAATATTGGTTTTAGGTGGACTGAACCTTTATAAAGGACGATAAATCCTAGATTCTGAATAGGTCTTCAGTACATGTATATACAACCCCTTACACTGGTCTCAGTAGCCGTGTGAAATCACTGTACACGTCAAGGTCTCTTAATTCTTTGTTCAGCTGATCACACATTTTTATCTTGTTATAGGAATGTAGTAAATGTGTATGGAATATATCCTCCTCCTGCCGCCTCCTATATTGTGTCTTGTACAGGAATGTCCTGGATACTGACATGAAAATCATAGCTCTTACTGCAAGGTTATGACATCTTCCTGGATAACACTTTGCTTTGATCACAGTGTTTTCTCTCCATGTGGATTAATGCTGTGGTGTTTCAGATGAATAGCTTGTCCAGTTTACCTTACCGCCCACTGGTCTATTCTTTATATCTACCTTTATTTCATGCCTGTCATTGAATAATAGAAGTTTTTCTTTTCTTTACCTGCTAGGCCCTATTTTGAAATGAAGGCAAAGTATTACCTGCAGCTTGAGGTTGGTACACTTTATTATTTGCAAGAAATGAAAGCGGAATTACACTGCATCTCAGCACTACAAACCAAACAAACAAAACAAACCCATCCATCAATGTTTCCATGCTTTATTTTGCTGGGAAATCACTTTGAAAAACACCCCCTAGGATTTCTAATTGTGGCCATCTTGAGTAAGGGCAGATGATTCATATAGTATTTACTTCCTGGAATCCATCTGCCCTTAACTCAGGTGTGCAGGCAGGAGGGTGTGCTTAGCTGAGAAACCCTTCCTCTCCTCTGGAAGACTCTTGGGATATATATCTTTTGCCTAGACATGGAAACCAGGAAGTAACTGAAGAAATGCAAAGAAAAGTTTAAACCAAGTAAATATGATATACCGTCCTATCTAGTAATGGTAGCAACATTAAAAATAGTCATTGTTGATAGAGTGAGTGAATTTTTGCTTTAAGCACACTTGAATTGATTCTATATATTAAAAAAAAAAAATAATAATAATAATAATAAAACAACCTAATGAGATGGTGTATGATTGTGTAAGGAATTCCATCCTGCATACTTCCTATAGGTGGATGCATGGCCAACAATGGAACCATTATGAACAGTAGAGCAGAAAAGCCAGTAGGTCCACGTAGAACCACTTTATGGATGTTGCCTTTAAAAAGGACTTCTACGTTTATTTATTTCAGGTACTTATATAGTGCTGTCAATTAACGCAGCACTTTACATATATATTGTACGTTCACATCAGTCCCTATCCCTCAAGGGGCGTACAAGCTAAGGTCCCTAAATTACATTCATACATACACATACTAGGGGCAATTTAGACAGGATCCAATTAACCTACCAGCATGTCTTTGGCATGTGGGAGGAAACCCACACAGGCACAGGGAGAGCATGCAAACTCCAGGCAGGTGGTGCTGTGGTTGGGATACGAACCAATGGCCCTAGTACTGCCAGGCAGAAGCGTTAACCATTTTGCCACTGTGCTGCTCACATGATCTACATGTTCCTAAAACATTGGCTTTTTGTACATATGTAATACTTTTCTATTTGTAATAAGCCTTTTTTTGAACTGAATTTATAATGTGCTGGCTTCTCTACTTTTCTATTGATGTATAATTGTAGGAACAGATTCTAATTCTCTTTTTTTTCCATTTTTCCAAAGCGAGATGAATAGATAAGAGGGAGTGTAATTGAAAACATGCAGTTAGTTTCCATCATATTAGTTACATGTATCAATCCCCAAAACAAAATAAAAAATGGTATAAGGGGAGTTGCTGCAAAAAAAATCACAATATTACAGTAGTATATTACAAAATAGGTAATCAAAAATTGGACCGTGTCCCCCCTGAGCAAAACTATTTTTTTTTTTTATGTAGTTTATTTTTGGAGATGTCTTTCCATTCTTTGCAATGGAGACTGCCTTTAGAAAAGTGTTTAAATAACCGTACCAATTTACATAATTTTCTTTTTGAGTTCTATTTTAGAATTAGTTTATTATGGTTAAAAATTGAATTGGCACAAATATAATTTATCATTTTTATCATTTACATTTTTCTGAGAAATTTTGCTGCATGTTAGCAGTTAGTGTTGAAATTGGATTTTGTTTTCTTATGGTTTGTCTGATTTTTGCTTACAGTAAGGTTAAAATATTATGCTTTTTAGGGATATTTTAGAATCGCCCAGATAAAAGTAGAGATGGTCTTTCCTAATATTTTGAGTTACTTACTAGGGTGTTTTTAGAACTTTATGTAAGATGACCCTTCATCAATAGAATTTTTTTGGTGCTACTCCTTTCCTATTGGTCTCTCAGCAGAAGATTTTATTTAAATGACCCTGAGGCTTATACACAAAAAGATGTCCAAAGCCTTGAATATGCCAACTAGTACTGTTATATCATCTATTAAGAAGTGGAAAGTTCAGGGATCTCTTGATACCAAGCCAAGGTCAGGTAGACCAAGAAAGATTGCAGCCACAACTGACAGAAGAATTGTCTGGGATTCAAAGAAAAACCCACAGGTAACCTCAAAAGAAATACAGGCTGCTCCGGAAAAAGATGGTGATACTTGAACAAAAATGAGCTGTTTGGTGGAAGTGCCAGAAAGAAGCTTTTACTGCATCGATGCCACAAAAAAGCTGTTACAATATGCCTGACAACACCTTGACATGCCTACCCAGGCTTTTTTGTGTCATTGATGCAGTAAAGGCTTCTTTCTGGCCTTTCTGGCACCTCGACCATGCAGCTCATTTTTGTTGAAGTGTCGTCATATTGTGCTCCTTCAAAACAACCACATTGTCTTTTTCCAGAGCAGCCTGTATTTTTCTTGTGGTTACCTATGAGTTTCCCTTTGTACCTTTTGTATCCCGAACAACTCTTCTGGCAGTTTGTGGCTGCAATCTTTCTTGGTCTACCTGTACTTTGCTTGGTATCAAGAGATCCCCGAATTTTCCACTTCCTAATAGGTGATTTAACAGTAATGATTGGCATATTCAAGGCTTTGGGCATCTTTTTATGTCCTTTTCCATGTTTATAAAGTTCCATTACCTTGTTACGCAGGACTTTTGACAGTTCTTTTCTGATCCCCATGGCTCATTATCTAGCCTAGTCCGTTCTTCCATGTAAGAGCTAACAAACTCATTGACTATTTATACACTGACACTAATTGCAATTTAAAAAGCCACAGATGTGGGACATTAACCTCTAATTGACATATAAACCCGTGTGTGTCACCTTGTGTGTCTGTACCAAGGCCAAACATTCCAGGGTATGTAAACTTTTGATCATGGACATTTGGGTGATTAATGTTATCATTATGATTTAAAGAGAAGCCAAACAACTATTTGATAATAAATGGCTTCATATGATCATTATCCTTCAATAAAAGAGCATTTTTGGCATGATTAGTCATATTTTCATTATCAATACCAAAATTGCACAATTTCTGCTAGGGTATGCAATCTTTTGAGCACATCTGTGTGTATGTATATATATATATGTGTGTGTGTGTGTGTGTGTGTGTGTGTGTGTGTGTATGTATGTATGTATGTATATATATATATATATATATATATATATATATATATAATGTTTATGTATGTATGTGTATATATATATATAATTTTTTTAATATATCAACTTTTTATTGCTTTATCTACAGCAATTGAAGAAGAAAAACTGTGGATGAACTTCAAGCTAAACTGTCTCTGGCCAAAGGAGAATACAAGGCTGCACTGAAGAACCTTGAAATGATATCTGATGAAATACATGAGAGGAGGCGTTCCTCTGCAATGGGTCCAAGGGGACGTGGCGTGGGAGCAGAAGGCAGCAATTCAGTAGAAGATCTCTCTGCTTGTAAACTAGAATCAGACACAATTTCAAGTAAGTCCATACGGGTCCAGGAGATCTACACTTTATACAGGAGCAATGGTATATACTACAGAAATTTGTTAGCTTTGTGTGGCCAAGTGTTGAGCAATCAGATTAAAATATAAAATGTATGTACAGTATATGTAATTTTTACAATGTTTCCTGTCCCACCTGTCATTGGGGAGCCAATAAGGCTATCATGGCCATTACTTCTAAGAATTATAGCTGCCTGGCTGTCATGCAAAAACATTGGCCTAACTGGAACAGGTATAGGAAATATAAAATGCTCACACTATTTTGTGGATGGGTCTCCAAACTTTTCAAAGTATTGAAGCCAGAAAGCATTGTTATTTTTGTGAAATTATTATTGTGCTTTTTTTTTTTTTTTAAATTAGAAGAAATTCAGCAATGGCAGCTCTTGTACACTGACAAATTTACATGCTTGCATTTCTATATGTTTATTATTGAATTAAATATTTGTGTAATAGCCACTAGATGAAAATAATCAATTTGTATTCACTCCTTTGTCAGCCTGTTTGCTTAACAACAGTTAATATTAGATATCAGCCAAATAGGGAGTGCATTGTTGTGAGTGAGTCAGACAACTTCTAGAATGTATTCTGAGAAAGAACAACCACAGAAAAAAAAAATCACAATCACAATGTAGCAACGTAATGTAGAAAGTGTAAACTGCATATGAGCAAATGTTGCTGCTCCACATGTACACCCATAATTATAAATTCTACATACAGGAGAGGTCTTGAGTGAAGAAATTGTGATTAGCTGTGCCAGAATGACTTAAAGATAAGTTCAGTGCAAAAGCAAAAATTCCTGGATGTCAAAACACGTCAAGGTTTGGGCCTTCAATATGCCATGGTATGTCCGGCTAAACTTCGAGTGATTGTGGAGGACACTTCTCACTTCTTTGATAGTCCTAATGCAGCCTTACAGTGGTTGGATGGTGCGGAACATCGCTTGACGAACTCTCCTGGAACCTGACCTTGGGGACCCTGTTGATCCTTAGTGTTTTAATCTCAGCTTACTATAGTAAAACAGCGGGGTATTGCTCTCACATTTCCTCCCTTTTTGTTTCCCACTTTTTTCCCGCTTAAGTTGGGGCTTCTCCCCTCTTAGGCTTTCCCTACATTTACCTGCGGTGTGCATGTCCATGAGACACTGTGTAAACCCCAACCTGTTTGTGGTATTTAGGGGATTTTTTGTCCTCCTGCCAGTGTTTTCAGTCAACATTATTCCGGCCCTGTTGGCCTCCATGTTGGTGATAATTGCAGTTTTCTCCCTTGCTTTGTTTATGGTTCACCTGGGATGTCTATATTTAGTGGAGTGCATGTTGCTGGGTCTGTCTCTCCTGTTTCTGCGGGCTGTCCTTGCCCATGTGATCTGGGTGCCTCCTACTACCTATCCGCTCACCGCTTCCCTCCGGGGGGGGGAGGGGGGGGCGGAATATCTGTCCACGACTGTGTTATCCTTCCTATTTTCTCCATATGTATTACGTATGTCTCCCATAAAGAATTGATGTTTTTATCCTGAAATGTAAGGGCCTGGGGGATAGAGGCAAGCGGGGTGCTGTCTTCCACATACTTAAACATTTAAAACCATCTGTAGTATGTTTGCAGAAAACCCATTTGATATCTGAAACTGTCGGTACCCTCCGCTCTTGTTTATGTCCCATGTAATATCATTCCTTCCACTCCACGTTCTCTAGAGGTGTGAGTATCCTTATTGCCAATTCCGTAAAATTTGTTCATGTCCAGGAGTGGATTGATGTGGAGAGCAGGTATATTTTCCTACTGTGTACTTTGAAGAATAGGGTGGAGGGATATATATCGCAACCACTATGCAGCAAAACCCATTCAGAGGTCATTAAATGCCTAGCTCAATTTATGGCAACTCACAAAGCTGCTCCCCTATTGGCGTTAGGTGATTATAACAATTGCTTACTCCCTACCTTGGACGGTAGGGCCAGACAATTATCCCCTCAGCCCACCCCATTTGCTAATTTATTGGTGGAATTGGGCCTCCAGGATGTGTGGCGGATGAAGTATCCGACAGCAAAATGCTTTTCTTGTTGCTCTGCTAATCATGATGGGCTTTCACACATAGATTTGGGCCTTGGGGACTCGATTATCCTGCCATATGTGTTTGATGCTGCATATGAACCCAGGGCTCTGTTTGACCATTCCCCTTTCTGGGTCAAGCTACAGGTGTGTTATACTTGCTCTTGTCCACTGTGGAAGGTTAACCCATTCTGGTTGACACTGTTTCCAGAGTCCGAGTTGATTCTGGGAGAGTCGTCCGAATATCTGCAGTGGAACGACGGCCTGTTCCGGCTGGGATCAGTTTGGGATGTGATGAAGGCCTTCCTGAGGAGCTTGATTATCCGGGAGATTTCAGCGGTTAAGCGTAGATCCAGGGAGTGGGGGGAGGAGAAGGCACGGTTAGATGTTCAACAGAGGGAGGTTCAGATGAGTTGATTCTGGTTTGATTGAGGGAGAGTTGTCCGAATTTCTGCAGCGGAATGATGGCCTGTTCCGGCTGGGAATGGTTTGGGATGTGATGAAGGCCTTCCTGAGGGGCTTGATTATCCGGGAGATTTCAGCATTTAAGCGTAGATCCAGGGAGTGGGGGGAGGAGAAGGTACGGTTAGATGTTCAACAGAGGGAGGTTCAGATGATCCAAGACCCAAGCCCCCGTAATTGTACCTCCTGGAAAGAGGCCCAGTCCCTTTATGAATCCGTACATACTCAAGTAGCTGATGAGAAGCGTTATTTTTTGCAACAAAAATATTTTGAGGAGGGTGAGAGTACGCGAGACCTTCTTGCTCTTGTGGCAAAATCACAACAAGGGGTGTTTACTATAGACAAGATTAAGGATGCTGATGGAGTGATTCGCACGAGTCATGCTGAAATTCTGAGAGTTTTTCATCACTTTTATGATGATTTGTACACTTCTAAAATTGTAGCCACATTCTGAGCTTTTGCAGTTTTTAGACACCTGCCCTTTTCCTGTGTTATCGGAGGCTGACCAGAGAGAATTAGATATGCCAATTACTGTTGAGGAGCTATCCGAAGCTTTAGCAGGCACCCCCAGTAATAAATCCCCGGGCTCTGACAGATTGCCATTCGAAATATATAGTAGATACGGTGAACAATTCCTCCCGGCCTTGCTCAACGCCCTGAATGCTGCCATAGATGGAGATGGTTTGCCCCCTCCATGAATAAAGCTGTTATTATAGTATTGTCGAAGCCTGGAAAAGATAAGTTAAAAACAGACTCCTACCGACCTATTTCCCTTCTGCATATGGATGCTAAATTGCTGGCCCAGGTTCTAGCTACTAGACTGGCGTGGATTATTTGTAATATTGTACATAAAGATCAGTCAGGGTTTATTCCTTCTAGAGCGATGGCTAATAATAATCGTAGTCTTTTTTTTAATTTGCAAATTCCGGTGGACAACCCTGGGGGGAAGGCCAAATCTATCTTTGGATGCGGCTAAGGCATTTGATAGTGTGGAATGGCCTTATTTTTAGGAAGTATTGTCTAGATTCAGTTTTGGTTCCAAGTTCATTAGTTGGGTGCGTCTTCTCTATGCGGCCCCTAGTGCCCGAATCTGGGTTAACGGGGATTTGTCAGTTTCATTCAGGCTGCAGAGGGGAATGGGGCAGGGCTACCCTCTCTCGCCCCTTTTGTTCACTTTGGCGTTAGAACCCTTTGGCGATTTTGGTGAGACAATCTCCGTGCTTCATCGATTTTAAAAGGGGTGATCTCTTGGAAAAGATATCCCTTTATGCGGATGACACACTGTTATATTTATACTTTCACATCCTTAGATGCTGTTATGTCCCTTATTGAAATCTTTGGTGGATTCTCTGGCTTTAAAATTAATTGACATAAATTGGTGTTGATGCCCATGGATCCTGTGGACCTCCCCCTCCCGGCCTGTACACAGCACATCCAAGTCTACATTTAAGTATTTGGGGGTGGTAGTCTCTCCTGATCCTAGACAGTATATTTCCCTCAATCTTTTGCCTCTACTTCTTAAGCAGAAATTTAAGTGTAACAGTTGGTGTAAGCTATCTCTGTGGGTGGTAGGTAGGGTCAATTTAATTAAAATGATTTGAGCCCCTGCAACTTCTTAATATTTTCCACAATTCTCCCATATGGATTCCTAAGAAATGGTTTCATTGTATAGAGACCCAGTTTAGGAGTCTTATTTGGAAAAAACAGATGGCTAGGATAATATTGTCCACGTTGCAATATGGCAAGGAGTCAGGGGGGCTGGCGGTCCCTGAGCCTAGACTATATTTCCTGGCGGCCCAATTGAAGCAACTGGTTGGTTGGGATTCATCTGATACCGATCCCATTATAAGTTTGATTTCTCTTCCTGATTCCACCATTTCAGCTCTCTCTCTTTTTGAGGTGGCTCTGCCAGTCCTTCCATCCTCGACCTTTTGAGGCGCGTCTGGAGTGCGGTGAAGGCGTCCTATCATATTACTGGGTTTCTCTCCTGTACCCCCTTGTGGAACAATCGGCAATATATAGAACTGGCTAAACTGGAGGGTTTTCAAGACTGGAGGAATCGAGGCCTAACATTTATATCTTGGCTGTATTCAGGGGTAATCCTAAAGTCCTTTTCACAGCTGCAAACAGAATTTGCATTTACACATAAGCAATTTTACCGATTTTCTTCAGCTACGCCATGTGGTACAGGCCCAGTCTTTGCTCTCTAATCTCACATTGACAGACTCGATTTTTCTTAAGGAGGCAACCCATAAGAAGGGCATTATTTCTTGTGTATACTCCCAGTGGTTGACCATAGTACAGGATCATGCTCGTCTCCAGGGTAGGGCACAATGGTCCAGGGATGTTGGAGAGTTTGCTGGAGATATCTGGGATTCTGCCCTGGAGTCTGTTCCGGTAATTTCTCCCTCTCATAAATTGTCTCAATTGCTTATTCTCCATCGGGTGTATACGACCCCTGTGCAATTGTACCGG